TAGTATTGTTGAGGCTACGCACCCGTCCGTCGCTGGTGAGCAGGATGGAGTCGCTCTTGATGTCTCGGTGTATGACGCCCTGCGTGTGGAGGTACGACAGCGCCTTCAACACCGACAAACAGACGGTGGCTATCTGCTCCTCATTCATCCTGTCAACAAAACATCTCCTCAACAATGAGAGCAAATGAGAGGAGAATGGCTTCTCTTGAGACTAACATGGTTGCTAGGGTGTCCTGGGTGGTTGCTAAGGAGTTGCTATGCAGTTGCTAGGGTGTTCCGGGCAGTATCATCATGCAGTGATGACGGTGAACAGCACTAATGATTGAGTTCTGATTGAAACTCTCACTGTGTGAATATACATCAGTGTCATTTCAGCTGCTCTAAACCAGAAGCATCTATTATCACAGATTCAGGTTCAGCAGCGGCACTAACACACACACACACACTCTCTCACACACACACACACACACACACTCACTATAACACACAGCGCGGGTATCCGGAGAGCAAGCAATTGAAACGTTGCACGTGCGAAAGAGAACGTCCGCGCACATCCAAATAAACATCTTTCAAATGCAAAATTGATTTTAGTTCGCTCGAAATACTTATTTATTTGCGAGACGAACATTTCTCCGCAAAACTCAGTTCACGCGCGTGCGAAATGCCCTTTAGCACGCTCAAAATATGATCTTGCACGCGCAGAATTGTGGCAGAAACGTAAGCCCATACTGAACCAGGTAGACACTAATGAAAACAAAGCATGATGGGAAATGGAGTCCATGACCAGAACAGGCAGGAACACAAAACAGGAACGCCCTCTAAAGCCTCACAGTGGTGCAGGCAACCGGGTGTGACAGTTTGATTGGGGATGGAGCTGAACTCTGCAGGACGGTAGATCTCCAGGAGCAGGGTTAGAGACCCCTGGCCAATGGATACCAGGCCTGCTGGCCAGTTGCTCTTTCTGACTGCTAGAGGTCGCCATTTTATCACAATTATAATGCAGCATAGGCTAAATATTGAGAAAGGCAGTGGGCCTTTTATTAACTTTAAAAACTTTTTGCCCCACATGTACAACAAGTCATTTAGACATTTGCAACAGTTTGTTTTTTTACACATACAGATTGGTTCTATGCAGTCAATCCGTTTTGCAGTTCTTTAAACTGTTGTTTTCGCTTGCAAATCACTGTTCACAGGCTTGCAGTGCTTTTGACCGTCTTTTGGCGACAAAAACGTGCCAAAAGTGTAAGCGCGGAAAAATGGAAGTCAGAAGCATGCAGATCATATTTATTTTGCGTTAGCATGAAGCTGCAGTTTCACAATACATGAATTACACTTACGAGTAACAGTAAAATGCTGCAAATATTTTTTTCTTGCGCTTGAAACACGATTTACACCTTTACAAAGCTTCTCTTGCGCATGCAAATTTAATTTACGCTTACGGTCTTATGTACGCTTCCACAACTCTTACCCTGCACATGCAAATCTTTTTGACGTCATTCTACCTTCATACACTAGCGCGTCATTAGCAGTGCGTTTCAAACACGCAGCAGAACAAAGGCTTGTGGGTGAGTCGTGACTCTATCAGCGGAGCGTGAGGCCCAGCTGTCCACCGCGCTCTCATCTGTCTCGCCTGCGGCTGCGGCTGCACTGGAGGGGAACACGCTGCCATGTGTTTGTGCCTCCCGCTCCTCCTCAACACTAATGCAGCGTAATGCGCAAACGGGACGTGTTTGTAATTACTCTGACGAACGAGGCCTCATGAGCAGATCCATGAAGGACACTTCTGTCTCAAAAAACTCATTCACTACTTCATTCTTCACATACAGTGACGTACAGAATACTGCAGTCACATACAAAACCTACTCACACAGACTTAGATCAAATATAAATAAATAATAGTTAAAAAAAGTGGAAAAAAAGATAAGTAATAATGAACAAATTAATGATAAGTAGGATTACACACACACACACAGACATATATATATATATATACGCTAATAAGACTATGCTGTATGACACAGCCTGGACTGTTTTATAAAAGACATTAATGTTCAATAAACGGTTTAATCTAACAAATAAAAACACACACGTCAACAGTTCTTGCATCATGTAGTTCATCACTGTACCTGTATCTGAATATAAACGTGTTATAATATAAACGTATATAATATAATATAATATATATAATATAAACGTGTGTTTAAACACAATCATCCCATCACAGCGCTCACTCTCAGCTATCAGTTTAATAAGTGAATTCTTAAGTCGTGTCAGACTCTGATCAGCCTCAAACACCTCCAGATTCTGCATTAATACAAACACAAACAGCTCAGTGTGCTGCTAATCTATCAAGAGCCTCATTACAATGTGCTGTTAATTGAAAACACAGCGCTGTTTGAACGGCCCACACACAGGAACACGCTCTGGCACGGATCAGCATTTGCTCTGGCAGGAACCCAGCGACACCAACATCAGACCACAGCACATGAGAGACGAACAACAGCACTGAAGAACACTGATCCTGTGCACTCAGACCATCATCAACTGCTCCATGTGACCCCATTCTACTCCATCCAACTCCACCGGACTCCATCAGACTCCATCAGACTTCACTCTGACTCCATCAGAATCAACCTGACTCCATCCGACTCCAACTGACTCCATCAGACTCCACCAGACTCCATCTGACTCTAACCAACTCCATCTGACTCCAACTGTCTCCATCGTACTTCAATCTGACTCCCATCAGACTCAACCTGACACCATCCGACTCCAACTGACTCCATCCGACTCAATCTGACGCCATCCGACTCCAACTGACTCCATCCAACTTAAACCGACTCCATCAGACTCAATATTACTCCATCAGACTCCAACTGACACCATCTGACACAACCTGACTCCATCCGACTTCACCTGACTCCATCCAACTCAAACCGACTCCATCCAACTCAAACTGACTCCATCTGACTTCACCTGACTCCATTTGACTCTAACTGACTCCATCTGACTCCAAACAACTCCATCAGACTCCAACCAATGCCATCTGACTCCAACTGACGCCATCAGACTTCACCTGACAACTCAACCTGACTCCATCCAACTTAAACCGACTCCATCAGACTCAATATTACTCCATCTGACTCTAACCAACTCCATCTGACTCCATCCGAATTCATCAGACTCCAGCTGAATCCATCTGACTCTAACCAACTCCATCTGACTCCAACTGTCTCCATCGTACTTCAATCTGACTCCCATCAGACTCCATCCGAATCCATCTGACTCCATCAGATTCAACCTGACTCCATCCGAATTCATCAGACTCCAACTGACTCAAACTGACTCCAAACAACTTCATCAGACTCCATCAGACTCAATATTACTCCATCTGACTCTAACCAACTCCATCTGACTCCATCCGAATTCATCAGACTCCAACTGACTCCATCTGACTCTAACTGACTCCATCTGACTCCATCCGAATTCATCAGACTCCAACTGACTCCATCTGACTCTAACCAACTCCATCTGACTCCAACTGTCTCCATCGTACTTCAATCTGACTCCCATCAGACTCCATCCGAATCCATCTGACTCCATCAGATTCAACCTGACTCCATCCGAATTCATCAGACTCCAACTGACTCAAACTGACTCCAAACAACTTCATCAGACTCCATCAGACTCAATATTACTCCATCAGACTCCAACTGAATCCATCAGACTCCAACTGACTTTGTGTTTATGTCTTGTCACGGCCGCTGCAAAATTTATTAATAAGAATGTTATCAGAACATCTAGAATATGAACCCTGTTTGACCTCCTGACCCTTTTCTGATTAGCACCTTTCTCTCTTTTATTTTTTTCTAATGTAATTTCATCTGATTGTACATTGGCTTGATAGATGAATGTAGAAAAATATGTTATTTCTTCTTGTATGTTAAAAAAACTGCAAAACAGATTTAAACATTAAAACATTAAATGTGTAAACATTAAATATTAATTAATTCAATGCTCAAAAGATAAAATGAAATAAAATATAATGAAATTAGATGGAATCGACTGTGAGCATCACATGATCTGTGTGCTGATCTGAGCCGCTGATTCAGACCCGTGTGTCGCTCAAGATGCTGCCTAAGAAGGGATCTGTCTATGTAGACATGAGCGTCTCTATTAGCGTCTCAAACAGGACCGAAATAAAGCGCATCAGAAACAGAAGCTGCTCTTCCTCTCAGCGGTGGGATGGAAGCGTGTCGTGCCGATCAGGTCACGCGTGTCTCTGAAAGCGTGCAATTACAGTCCAACACCGCGCAACACCGAACTGAAGAACAACTAATTACTGTAATTATGCAGACGCTTCGAGAGCAGAGGCAGCGTTTAAAACAAACTCCACCACAAACTTTCACAATAATAATTCATCCCTGGACTATTGTCTCCAGCAGATAACACCGCTCTGTAAATCAGCTGCAGAAGTGTAATGTTACTCTCCATTTCATATTAGATCAGAGCTGATTGTGAAACGTGTTAAACAGGTTCTCTATTAAAACATCTCGTGATCTAGTTATTTCTGACACAAACTCAATAATGAGGCCTAGTGTTATATAATCTCACTTAATCATTTTCTCTTTTCATTTGGATCTTGATGGACTTGAATCGAAAGATCAGATGATTCACACTGAATGAATGAATCAGTGTGAAATCAGTTCATTCAGACTCTGATTCTGATTGGACGACCGGCTCTAACCTGGTGTGAGTGACGATGTCAGTCAAGGCTCCGCCCTCCAGGAACTCCATCACTACCCAGAGTTCATCACTGACCAGATAACTGTTGTACATGTCGACCACGTTCTCGTGATGGTAGTCTCTCATGATGACCACCTGCAGGCAGATGAACAGCGAACAGGAACACGATTAAAACATCTCGATTACAAATTAGGCCTACATGACGAAAATTGTAGTTAGTAACATAATCTGGATTACACATATTAGGTAATGTAGTCTGACTACTCATTTTATCACATAGACGTGAATGGGATTATTGTGTACCATAAAAAAAACAACAACAAAAATGATTAAATTACTTATCTTAAAAACACTTGAAATATGTGACTCTGGAGCACAAAACCAGTCGTAAGGGTCAATTTTGTGCAATTGAGATTTATACATCACTGAAATCTGAATAAATAAGCTTTCCATTGATGTATGGTTTGTTAGGATAGAACAATATTTGAAAATCTGGAATCTGAGGGTGCAAAAAAATCTAAATATTGAGAAAATCATCTTTAAAGTTGTCCAAATGAAGTTCTTAGCAATGCATATTACTAATCAAAAATTAAGTTTTGATATATTTACGGTAGGAAATTTACAAAATATCTTCATGGAACATGATCTTTACTTAATATCCTAATGATTTTTGGCATAAAAGAAAAATGGATAATTTTGACCCATACAATGTATTGTTGGCTATTGCTACAAATATACCCCAGCGACTTAACACTGCTTTTGTGCTCCAGGGTCACATATTACAATACTAATATTTCATATTTTGGTTAGTATTTTAATTATAATAATAATAATTATTATTATTTTTATTATAATTATTATTTTATAGACATATTGATATATAATCACATAGTTTTTGCCTATATTGTGCAACTTTTCGCTATTTTGTTGACCAGGATATTGGCGCGCTCACCTCGTTGAACAGAAGTTCCCGCCGCTGCTGTTTTCTCAGGTCCATCTTCTTCACAGCCACCTGTTTGCCGCTGTGCTTCTCGGTGGCGATGCACACGATGCCCGTGGATCCCTCCCATGCTGAATAAAAGTATTAATTTAATTAATTTCTTTCAAAAACAAAATCAGAAATGTTTGAGCAGCAAATCAGTATATTAGAATCATTTCTGAAGATCATGTGACACTGAAGACTGGAGTAATGATGCTGAAAATACAGCTGCGCATCACAGGAATACATTACAGTTTAACAGATATTCACAGAGAAAACAGATTATTTTAAATTGTAATAATTATATGTAATATAATCATATTGTAATAATATTTCAAGAGTTCTTTCAAAAACATTGAAAAACGTAATTATAACTTTTTTATTATATTAATTATTGCTTAATTATTCAAACGTTTGACTAGTAGAGTGTGAGATACACACATATGGAAGTGAGTAAAAGCAGAGCTGGGATCTTTTCAGCAAACAAAGAAAAACGAGCATCTGTTAGAGGAATAAAGCAGGATCCACGTCACAGGATCTGATTCCCGGTCAGCGGGGTCACGGTGGGCCGTAGATTGAATTATTGCCACCACGCCCCGAACACAAAAAGATGACACGACACGGATCGTCATCTAAGCGGCTGATGATGAGAGCGCCGGCTGTAATTACGCCGGTAGACTCGTTTAATCAATCATCCCGGCGAGGCTGTTTATGGGCCGGAGAAAGTCCCGAGACCCCCTTTCCCAACCGGCACCGCTGGCTGATCCATGTTCGTTAAATGCACATTAATCTGAATTTGGCAGCGTAATCAACAACCCAACTGGAGTGTGAAATTGAATTCTGTGGAACACGCCGCCGCGGCTTTAATGCAAGGGCTGCAGAAAAGGAAGGTGCCACAACATCAGTTCATCACAATGAGCGCGAGCGTGCCCGAGTTCCCAAGTCCCCGAGCTGTCGGCCTTTAACGGCCTGAGATTCCCAGCAGCGCCCACAAAACGCTGGGCTCGCTGAAAGTGACCGAGTCGAGGTGAATGAGAACGAAAGAGGTTCATTATGAGGCCGCTGAGCCGAGACTGATGGGACTGCAGCCTGTGTGTGCTGAACGCTCCGAATCACAGTGAAATCACACACACACCGACTGTGCTGCTCCATACAGTACAACCGCGCATTTCCCCGAATCACCGTCTAACCCTGCGTAACTCAGCCAAACCCGCCAGAAACACGGCTCAGACTTCACCCAGAAACATGAAAGTACTGAAAATAAAGTGAAAGTGACGTGACATGTGGCCAAGTATGGTGACCCATACTCGGAATTAGCCGGTACGAGACTCGAACCCGCAACCTTTGGGTTACGAGTCCTACTCTCTAACCATTAGACCACGACTTCCCCAAATGAAGAGTCTGTGGCATTATTTTCATGACGCGGTTTTAAAATAAAATGTAGTTCAGACCAGACAACGGTTTGGGGGATGAAAATGTGTTTAAAACATAATGTCATAAAACATTTGCTTATTTCTTCGTTTTGATTCAGGGATGACATATGATACAGACATTTCTTCATGAGATTCACCTGATGATGGTGATGGTTGAGCTAAATACAAAAAATATGTAATTTTTTCAAATGAATGTTGCTGATTCTATGGGTATGTAAGTCAGTGTTATTTTACTATCATTGCGATACTATTATAGCTTTTATTAAGCAGTTTTTGTATCAATTTTTTATTTTCTGTTTTCATTGTTAATTTTCGTTAAAGCTTTAGTACTTTTGTTGTGTATTTTTGTGAATTTTTGAGAAATGTTGCCAGGCAACTAGCTGAAATAAAAAGAGTTTTATATTTAATTTTATTTCAAATAACATCGTTTTAGTTTTAATTTTAGTTAACTCTACTAAGTCTTGTGTAAATTTATGTTGCAATATTTTGAGGAGGCTAATACAGTAGTCCTGAAATATCTGTGAATTTTCATCACAGTTCGGAGCTCAAGCGTGTGTAAATGAAGGTCTGCGATGAGCCGCGGTTATCTGGGCGATGCTACGGTTCCATTAATTGATTCCTGCGCTGCTCTCATGAGTAATTCTGTGTCTCCGGCCGCCGCGCTCTTTTCACGGGTGAGTAGATTAAGAACTGACACCAGATCCATCACAGAGCCGGTGCTGCGGAGCGCTGGTGCGACCGAGAGATAAAACGCCCTACACGGCCTGCGGGTGAGGAGTGGGCCGTGCATGTGCAAGACGTCCACTGTGATTTAACACTTTCTAAAAACAGTTCTTTCTTTTGATTTAGGGGTCAAATATGAAACAGACGTTTCTTCATGACATTCTCCTGATGATGGTAATAGTAGCAGTAAATACAAAACAATAAGCAAGCAATATTTTTAATGAATCTTAATTTATGTTGTAATATATTGAGGAGTTATTGAGGAAGTGGCTAATACTCTTCTAATGCGGAAAGTGCATGAAATGCAATGTAAAAGCATCTGCTAAATGCATGAAATTAGAAAAACAGCATACATTAAACGCAGAACATCCAACATGTTCTTAAATAAAATGCCGTTCAGGCAGAGGAAGACATTTTTGGGGGCTGAAAATATGTCATAAAAGTTCCTAAAACATGAAAAAGTATACAAAACAGGTTCTACAAGGGATGTAAATTTATGTTGCAATATATTAAGACGTTATTGAGGAATCTGCCTAACATACTTCAGTGTTTCCCACAGACTTGCACTCAATGTGTGGCGGCACTTCCCCCGGGGGAAATATAGGCTATATATAAAACAGCAAATGGGATTATTGAAATTGCAAATTCATTCTCTGCCAGCAGGAGGTGCTTTAGGAGCGGCAGAAATAGTGGTTTCCCCGGTAACGGCTGTAAACAAAGCAGCGCTCCGCTCATAAATGCTACTTTATCAGGCATTATAGGAAAGATTAAACGAAAATGACATCGAAACTTTTCTAAAGACAGTTAGTGCCCTTCAAAGATACAGTCATATAAAAACACCCGCGCCGCGTTTTGACTTTGAAACGTACAGAGCTCATGTTTATTCAACAAAGTCAAAGCCTTTTGGAAAATCTATTTGTGGCGGTCAATGTTGATATTGTGGCGGGCCACCACAAATAAATCAATGTACGGGAAACACTGTACTTCTAATGCGGAAAGCATCCTCTAAATGCATGTATATAAATGTAGCGCTCTTTTATCATATTAATATTTATTGCACATTTTTGCTGCCACATGATGTTTGAGCAAAACAATGGATCTCCATGGAGCCTTTTCCTCCAAAATCTACCACGTGACAATCTCTGAGAAGAGATCACATGCAAATGATGCATTATCAGTAGCGGTTCACTTTGGTAAGTCTGGATTTATCTTGCTTTGATTGCAAACTGTGCCAGAGAACCACACAAACTCATTGCACTATTCACAAGTTCGCACTTACATATAATCAGAGCAAAGAGTGTGCATATTTGGCGTGTGGTCCGAAGGGGAGGGGCTCTGAGCTTGTAATATAGACTGAACCCAGAGAACCCCCCCATATCTCCAAGCTGGGACAGGAATAGTTAGGAGTTGGGGTGGAGGAGGGATGCCAGAAAACTGTTGTGGGACAAAGGCAAGTTGGCTGTATATATATTTTACTATAGTGCTAATTATATATAGTGCTCCGCCCGAACTTTGTTAATAAAACATCACATAGTGTGAATCCGTCCTTAATGCATTGGTGTATTTTGACAAAACACCCTGCAGGACAAAAAAAGCCAGACTCATCATTAGAAGGAGGCTGATTTGATCTTTACCTTGCTTATGACGAGTGAAGACGTGTTCTCGGACAGTCTGGGGTACGTGTACGAGCTGTACGGCCCCTGCGGCGCAGCTTTAAATGCACTGATGCCATACGGCAGGCTGGGCTCCTGCAGGCCCGACCCCGAGCGCGAGCGCTGCCGGATGGCCGGCTGGGGGCTCGTCTGACGGATGTACGAGGACTTGGGCCTCTTGTCGTAGTCGTCTCTCAGTCCCGCTCCATATCCCCAGTCTCCATCGGGATAGTTCATCTGCCCGCTGTGGATGGAGACGCGCGACGGCGTTCCCAGCGGATGCTCCCGATAGTCCTGGCTGGATCCGCTTAGAGAGGCGCGGTAGTATTCCCTGCGGCCGCCCATGGCCATCTCGTCGGTGGACAGCCGCATCTTGTTCTCCAGGTAGGCGTGGTAGTCGGGTGGCATCTTGGCGTAGTCCGAAGACTTCTGCGGCATGGCGTCGGGATAGAAGTGGCTGCGGATGGGATGGCCGTTCTGTCTGAGAGAGAAGCGGTAGTGCCGTCCGACCGCCCACTCGCCGTCATGGGCACCTCGGTCGCGGTACGCCTCTAGCGAGAAGTCTTTACTGCTGTCCAGGTCGCACGAGAAGCGGCCGTAATAGTGTCCGAAGCCGTTCTCCTCCGATCCGCCGGCGTTGGACGTGGACGCAGATGCTGGCTTGCTCCCGCCAGACTGATGGGCTCCAGGTGGACACTCTTTCCTCAGAGAGTTGGAGCGGGTGACGGAGATACTCTCAAACTCCTCCAGCAGGCCGTTGACGGAGGCGTCCTTGGGCGGCTGGCTCCCACGGACGATGGTCTGCAAAGAGAAGACAGGTGAGTCGGTGAGAGGCACAAAGCACCAACAAGAAGGTCCAGGCCTGAGCGTTCCACCACATATATTTTGACAGAGCCAAACAGCAGTGGGAGTGGGATCAGAAAACGTTTGGCAGCGGAGCTCTCACGAGCCGAGCCTGAATAAATCACAGCATTGCTCATCTCATCCCACTGCTGCTTAAGCGTGTTACACAGCTGCGTCGTGACTCAACGCAGAATTAAACACTGAAACAGACCCAAAATATAAGAGTGGCACGAGCTGAAAGGCCCGATGGAAGGTTTTTCCCAACTTCCCCTCTCACTAGTCATCCAAAACTACACTACAATTACATGAGCAGATTTAGAAAAACAGACGGGTCTTTTCACATTTTCCATACAGATTGACCCAAACCAGGTACAAACCAATCCCACATACACAGTTCTTTTAAGAACTGATCACTGAAAGGTTCTTTGGGGAACCAGAAATGGTTCTGTGGTTCCATGGCATTGCTCTAAAAACCACCTTTTAAAACCTTTATTTTAAAGAGTATACAGTATCATTATTTTAGAGTACCTGCTGCTGTATGCACAAGGACAAATTGTGATTATTTACTATGTAAGTGATCAAATCTTAAAAGAAGAGACTACTTTTCTAAACATTACTGTACAGTATGTGATGTATGCAGCTCCAGTAAAGAGAGGCCGCTGTGATCTTGACCTGCATCTGCAGTATAAAAACTCTCTGACCTCATTTAGTTGCTGCCGCGGCTCTTTAAGTAACATCAGATGACCTGAAGGAAAACTAGTACAAAGGTCCGGAGGTTCTAGATCACGGCTGATGATCCAGAACACAGTGTTTTAAGCATGCAGTAATCAGCTCATTCAGATGGAGTTAAACACTGGTCACATTCATGCTGTGAAACTTCGGTAAGATCCAACCAGACCAACACGTCTCTTTAAAAAAAAGTTTTCAATTTCTCATCATAGGTTCTTCAGATTTATGTTTCGGTTGCAGGGTTCTTTGAAGCATCAAAACATACTGTAGATGTTTTTCTAAAGAACCAGAAAACAACTCTGGATCTTAAGAACCTCCTTCTATGGCTTCATTCTGTAAAACCCTTTTGGTTCTGATTGATCTTCTGGTTAATTTCTTTAATATTGGGAGAAACTAATGCATAAGACTGTTGGTCAATGAAACTCAAACATGAGACACAGCTGAGAACAGAATGAGATCAAAGCAATCGGACCACATTCACATGAACATAATTTTCAGATTCTAAGATACTCTGAAGCTCTACAGATGCATGTCATCAAAACAAAACCAGATTCTCAATGCTTAATCTGAAACTCAAGTATTCACAGATCATTTTCACACGTTCTCACTTCAACAATCAAGTCAGACAGGTGTGCATGAATAGATGTATGATCTCCCTACAGACATGAAGTGTTTGACTTAACAGATCTGAAGAGCTGGAACATGTGGTCAGGTTATGAAAAAGAGAGGAGCTAATAAACGTCACAGTCTGAGCTTCAGTACAGGAAAAGGAAATAAATCTCCTGGACGGGCCAGTGTCCTCCTCACAGCAGCGCTACACGGAGTGTCATCCATCTCTTTAATGCGTGTGTCAGCCACTGCGCTTTGAGCTCAGTCCATCTGAAGAGAATGTGATCAGAGGCCTTTACACCTCTGATCTGCTATACAGCCGCTAACACTCACACCAGCTAACACTCGCTTACGCTAACGCTCACATTCGCACCCGCTAACACTCACTAACGCTAACACTCACTCACTCACGCAAACACTCACCCCTGCTAACACTCACTCGCTTATGTTAACACTCACATTCACACCCACCAACACTCACTCATACTAACACTCACGCACACTCACGCACACTAACACTCACGCACACTAACACTCACTCACACTAACACTCACGCACACTCACGCACACTAACACTCACGCACACTAACACTCACTCACACTAACACTCACGCACACTCACGCACACTAACACTCACGCACACTAACACTCACTCACACTAACACTCACGCACACTCACGCACACTAACACTCACGCACACTAACACTCACTCACACTAACACTCACGCACACTCACGCACACTAACACTCACGCACACTAACACTCACTCACACTAACACTCACGCACACTCACGCACACTAACACTCACGCACACTAACACTCACTCACACTAACACTCACGCACACTCACGCACACTAACACTCACGCACACTAACACTCACTCACACTAACACTCACGCACACTCACGCACACTAACACTCACGCACACTAACACTCACTCACACTAACACTCACGCACACTCACGCACACTAACACTCACGCACACTAACACTCACTCACACTAACACTCACGCACACTCACGCACACTAACACTCACGCACACTAACACTCACTCACACTAACACTCACGCACACTCACGCACACTAACACTCACGCACACTAACACTCACTCACACTAACACTCACGCACACTCACGCACACTAACACTCACGCACACTAACACTCACTCACACTAACACTCACGCACACTCACGCACACTAACACTCACGCACACTAACACTCACTCACACACCCACCAACACTCACTCATACTAACACTCACGCACACTCACGCACACTAACACTCACACTCACTCACACACACTAACACTCACTCACACTAACACTCACTCACACTAACACTCTCACACACAAACACTCACACACACTAACATGCACTCACACTAACACTCACACTCACTCACACACACTAACACTCGCACACACAAGCCCTCACACACACTAACACTCACTCACACTAACACTCTCACACACAAACACTCACACACACTAACATGCACTCACACTAACACTCACACTCACTCACACACACTAACACTCGCACACACAAGCCCTCACACACACTAACACTCACTCACACTAACACTCTCACACACAAACACTCACACACACTAACATGCACTCACACTAACACTCACACACACTAACACTCACTCACACACCCACCAACACTCACTCATACTAACACTCACACACACAAACACTCACACACACTAACATGCACTCACACTAACACTCACACACACTAACACTCTCACACACAAACACTCACACACACTAACACTCACACACTCACTCACACTCACACACACCAACACTCACTCACACTCACACACACACTAACACTCACGCACACTCACGCACACTAACATTCACGCACACTAACACTCACGCACACTCACGCACACTAACATTCACGCACACTAACACTCACGCACACTCACGCACACTAACATTCACGCACACTAACACTCACGCACACTCACGCACACTAACATTCACGCACACTAACACTCACGCACACTCACGCACACTAACATTCACGCACACTAACACTCACGCACACTCACGCACACTAACATTCACGCACACTAACACTCACGCACACTCACGCACACTAACATTCACGCACACTAACACTCACGCACACTCACGCACACTAACACTCACTCACACACACTAACACTCACTCATACTAACACTCACACACACAAACACTCACACACACTAACACTCACTCATACTAACACTCACACACACAAACACTCACACACACTAACACGCACTCACACTAACACTCACACACTCACTCACACGCACACACACTCACACTCACTCACACTCACACACACTAACACTCACGCACACTAACACTCACGCACACTAACACTCACGCACACTAACACTCACGCACACTAACACTCACGCACACTAACACTCACGCACACTAACACTCACGCACACTAACACTCACGCACACTAACACTCACGCACACTAACACTCACGCACACTAACACTCACGCACACTAACACTCACGCACACTAACACTCACGCACACTAACACTCACGCACACTAACACTCACGCACACTAACACTCACGCACACTAACACTCACGCACACTAACACTCACGCACACTAACACTCACGCACACTAACACTCACGCACACTAACACTCACGCACACTAACACTCACGCACACTAACACTCACGCACACTAACACTCACGCACACTAACACTCACGCACACTAACACTCACGCACACTAACACTCACGCACACTAACACTCACGCACACTAACACTCACGCACACTAACACTCACGCACACTAACACTCACGCACACTAACACTCACGCACACTAACACTCACGCACACTAACACTCACGCACACTAACACTCACGCACACTAACACTCACGCACACTAACACTCACGCACACTAACACTCACGCACACTAACACTCACGCACACTAACACTCACGCACACTAACACTCACGCACACTAACACTCACGCACACTAACACTCACGCACACTAACACTCACGCACACTAACACTCACGCACACTAACACTCACGCACACTAACACTCACGCACACTAACACTCACGCACACTAACACTCACGCACACTAACACTCACGCACACTAACACTCACGCACACTAACACTCACGCACACTAACACTCACGCACACTAACACTCACGCACACTAACACTCACGCACACTAACACTCACGCACACTAACACTCACGCACACTAACACTCACGCACACTAACACTCACTCACACTAACACTCACATACTCACTCACACTCACACACACACACACTAACACGCACTCACACTAACACTCACACACTCACTCACACTAACACTCACACACTCACTCACACGCACACACACTAACACTCACTCACACTAACACTCACACACTCACTCACACTCACACACACTAACACTCACTAACACTCACAAACTCACACACACACTCACACACTAACACTCATTCATACTAACACTCACACACACAAACACACACACACTAACACTCACTCACATACTCACTCACTCACACACACACACTAACACCACACACACACAC